AGAAGTTAAGAGCACTGACTGCTCTTCCAGAGGTCCCCAGTTCAATTCCCAGCAATCACATGGTGGCTCACAACCATCTATTATGAGATCTGGTGCCCTCTTCTGTTGTGCATACATACATGGAGGTAGAATGTTATATTCATAACAAATAAATGAATCTTTAAAAAAAATTTTAAATCCAGGAATGATGGTGCATGCCTTTAATCCCAGCACTCAGGAGGCAGAGGCAGACAGATTTCTGTGAATTCAAGGCCAGCCTGGAGTACAAAGGTAGTTCCAGGAAACTCTTTGTTACATAGTGAAACTCTGTCATCCCATACCTCCCCATAAATAAATAAATAAATATTATTTGGTTTTTCAAGACAGGGTTTCTCTGTATAATAATCCTGGAATACACTTTGTAGACCAGGCTGTCCTGGAACTCACAGAGATCCACCAGCCTCTGTCTCCTGAGTGCTGGGATTAAAGGCGTGTGCCACCAACACCCAGCCACTCCTGGTCTTTTACAAGAGTGCCAGGGATCCAAACTCAGGTGCTCATGCTTGTGTGGCAGGCTTCTCAATACTAAGCTGTTTCCCCAAAGAATAAGAGAGACCGCCAGTTTAAGGTCAAGCTGACCGTCTAGCACTGAAATCCATGCGAGAACTGGTGGTTGGAAGGAGGACTCAGGAGAGAAGAGGTCGTAGGAAGCTTTAAGGGTAGTTCTCTCTCTCAATTTATTTATTGTGTAGTGTTCTGCCTGCATGTATGGATATCAGGAGAGGGCACCAGATCTCATTATAGGTGGTTGTGAGCCACTTTGTGGTTGCTGGGAATTCAACTCAGGACCTCTGGAAGAGCAGAGCAGCCAGTGCTATTAACCTCTGAGCCATTTCTCCAGCCCAAGGGTAGTTCTTTTTCTTTTCTCTTTCCTTTTTTTCTTTTTTAAGGTTTTTTTTTTTTTTTTTTTTTTTTTTTTTTTTTTTTTTCGAACAGGGTTTTTTTTTTTGGTTTTTCGAAAAAGGGTTTTTCTGTGTAGCTTTGGAGCCTATCCTGGCACTTGCTCTAGAGACCAAGCTGGCCTCCAACTCACAGAGATCCCCCTGCCTCTGCCTCCTGAGTGCTGGGATTAAAGGCGTGCACCACCAACACCCGTCGAAGATCTTTTTTTAAAATTTTATTTATTTATTATGTATACAACATTCTGCTTCCATGTATATCTGCACACCAGAAGAGAGCACCAGATCTCATACCAGATGTTTTCAGCCACCATGTGGTTTCTGGGAATTGAACTTAGGACCTCTGGAAGAGCAGCCAGTGCTCTTAACCTCTGAGCTATCTCTCAAGCCCCCTGGCTTTTACTTTATAATCCTGCCTCATCCTCCTAGGTGTTAGGATCACAGGTGTGTGCCGTCACACAGATACATGGGTAGTTCTTAACTTACGACTTCATTTTTTTGCTCTGAGACAACACAGGGTCTAGTGAAGAAGGGAATGGCTGGGGCTGGAGATGAAAGCAGAGCTTTGGGCTCAGGTGGAGAAGGAACCACTTGGAAGCATAGGATCAGTGTGTCCCAATGCCTCTGCCTCCCGAGTGCTGGGATTAAAGGTGTGTGCCATCAACAGCTGGCTATTATTATTAGTGTGTGTGTGTGTGTGTGTGTGTGTGTGTGTGTGTGTTTGTTGGGGTATATGCATGTGAGTGCAGTTGCCCACAGAAACCATCAGATTCCCTGGAACTGAAGTATAGGCAGGAGCCACTCAACATGGGTGCTGGGAACTGAGCTCTGGTCCTTAAGAGCAGTATGCACTTGTAACCTCTGAGCCATCTCTCTAGCCAGGACTATGAGATCTACATATTGGATGAAAGAACCGACATCCACTACTTTACAAGTTGTTCTCTGATCTAATACAGACACTTGTGCACCAACACACACTCTCTCTCTCTCTCTCTCACACACACACACACACACACACACAGAGTTACATGTATGTTAAAAAAGGGAAAATTCAATATAGTATGTACCTATGAAAATTGCTAAGTGTCTTGTGTGAAATTTGCTCTTTCTCAGGGAGATGTGCCTGGGGAGCAGAGTGGCAGAGGATAGGCTGTGGTTCAGGGGCCTGTATGCATTGTATACTGGAAAGGCTGTTAGGGGGCTGGGATGTGGCTCAGCTAGAGTGCTTGCCTAGCAGACATGAAGCCCTGGGTTCTATTTCCAGCACTGGGTAGACTGGGCCTGATGGTGCATTCCTGTGATTCCAGCACCCGGGAGGTGGAGACAGGACGATCAGGCCAGTTTGTGGTCAGTTTGGGCTACATGAGACACTGTCAACAAGGAAGGAAAGGGAGTAGAAGTGATTATTGGGAGCCAGGCGTGGTGGTACATGCATATATATTGCCAGCACCATGTTCAAGCTCATACTGGGCTACATAGTGAGTTGAAGGCCAACCTGGGCTTTATAGCAAGCTCCTCCCCCCCCCGTTTTTTTTGGGGGGACAGGGTTTCTCTGTGTATCCCTGGCTGTCCTGGAACTCACTCTGTAGACCAGGCTGGCCTTGAACTCACAGAGATCTGACTGCCTCTGCCTCCTGAGCACTGGGATTAAGGTATGTGCCACCACCACCTGGCAGAAAGTTGTCTAAACACCCAGGAAAAGCCAGAACATCAGGGAGTTGGCTGAAGGTGGCCATCAGTGGTTTTCTCACCTCGTGTCCTGGTTTGAGTTCTAAGAGAAGATTCTGGGAACTCTGTTCTTCACCCTTTGGTGAAGAGTTGGTAAAATTTCTCTACTGTGGGGGTGGGCTCCTCCTGTTTGTGCATCCCCAGTTCTGGGATTGCAAGCAGGTGCTACCTTGCATACCTTTTTATGTGGGTGCTGGGGATCCAAACTCACGTCCTTCTGCTTGTCCAGCTAGCATCTAATGACTGGTCCACCCCCTCCCTCTGTTGTCCCTCACTTCTAGGACATGTCCAACGATGCTGCTGCTGCCCCCACAGCTGCAGAGGCAGCAGGTGACACCCACCTGCTGGGCTTCTCAGATGAGATCCTCCTGCATATCTTGAGCCATGTCCCCAGCACAGACCTGGTTCTCAATGTGCGGCGCACCTGCAGGAAGCTCTCGGCCCTGTGCTTGGACAAGAGCCTGGTGCACACCGTGCTGCTTCAGAAGGACTACCAGGTGACTCAGGCATGGGTGGAAGGTCAGGATCAACCAACGTGCTAGCTTGTGGGGGCTGGTGGTACTGATGTTTGCACAGAAGACTATGTAGCTGGGAAAAGCCACACATTAGGATTCAGTGACAGACCCAGGATAGAAGAGGATAGGTGGTGTGTCCCATGGCAGGAGGGCATAGAACATGTGGATGTAGTTCTGGGAGGGAAGAGCCTGGGCCTCAGATACAGGGCTCAGCGGGGGACTCCTTCCCCATAGGTACCCTAGGGTGGAGTTATTGCACCACAGGGTAGATTGTAGAAGGTCCCTGTGAAGTGACACAGTGGATGGCACAGTTGACATTGCTGCAAAATGAGTCCCCCATTGCTCAGGGCCGAAGTAGAAGTATCTGATTAACCTGGGACATGAGCCCACTGTGGTAGGATACACATGTAGTCCCAGCACTCAGGAATTTGAGGCAGGGTGATCACAGCTCAGAGCACTTTAGTAAGGCCTTGTCTCAAACAAAAAGAAATAAAAAACCCCAGACAGGTGTGCCTGATGGCATAGGCCTATAATCTCAGCATTCAGGAGCCAAGGCCAGATCTGTAAATTCAAGGCCAGACTGGTCTATACAGAGTTCAAGGCCAGCCAAGGCTACAAAGTGCGGCCTTGTCTTTAAAAAATACATGTCTCTCCTGCCCTGTCGCATTCTGCAGGCCAGTGAGGACAAGGTGAAGCAGCTGGTGAAGGAAATTGGTCAGGAGATCCAGCAGCTGAACTTGGCAGGCTGCTATTGGTTGTCGGGCTCTACCATCGAGCATGTGGCCCGCTGTCACAGCCTGGTGAAGGTGAACCTGTCAGGCTGCCACCTCACCTCCCTGAGGCTGTCTAAGGTGCTTTCAGCCCTGCAACATCTGCGCTCACTGGCCATCGACGTGAGCCCCGGCTTCGATGCCAGCCAGCTGAGCAGTGAGTGCAAGGCCACGCTGAGCCGAGTACAGGAGCTCAAGCAGACGCTGTTCACACCATCCTATGGTGTGGTGCCCTGCTGTGCCAGCCTGCAGAAGTTGCTGCTCTACTTTGAGATCCTGGACCGCACACGTGAGGGTGCTGTCCTCTCCGGCCAACTCATGGTGGGCCAGAGCAACGTGCCCCATTACCAGAACCTGCGTGTCTTCTATGCACGCCTGGCTCCTGGCTACATCAACCAGGAAGTGGTGCGACTCTACCTCGCCGTGCTCAGTGACCGCACGCCTGAGAACCTGCATGCCTTCCTCATTTCTGTCCCTGGCAGCTTCGCGGAGAGTGGGGCCACCAAGAACTTGCTGGACTCCATGGCCCGCAATGTGGCCTTGGATGCCCTGCAGCTGCCCAAGTCATGGCTGAACGGCTCCACCCTTCTCCAGCATATGAAATTCAACAATCCCTTCTACTTCAGCTTTAGCCGGTGTACACTGTCAGGTGGCCACCTGATCCAGCGGGTCATCAATGGGGGGAAGGACCTGCGCAGCCTGGCCAGCCTTAACCTCAGTGGCTGTGTGCATTGCCTGTCTGCAGACTCGTTGCTCCGTAAGGCAGAGGACGACATTGACAGCAGCATCCTGGAGACACTGGTAGAGTCCTGCTGTAATCTGCACCACCTCAATCTCTCAGCTGCCCACCACCACAGCTCTGATGGCCTGGGCCGCCACCTCTGCCAGCTCCTGGCCCGGCTCTGCCACCTGCGTTCCCTCTCGCTGCCTGTCTGCTCTGTGGCTGACTCAGCACCTAGGCCTGACCGCGCGCCTGCCCCGCCGGCCATGCATGCAGTGCCCCGTGGCTTTGGCAAGAAGGTGCGCATTGGGGTTCAGACCTGTCCCAACCCCTTCCTGGGCCAGTCGGCCCCCCAGCCTGCCTCTGTGTTCTGGTCTCTGCTGAAGAAGCTCCCTTATCTGGAGCACCTGGAACTGATCGGGTCCAATTTCTCCTCAGCCATGCCACGCAATGAGCCTGCCATTCGCAACTCACTCCCACCCTGCAGTCGGGCACAGAATGTTGGGGATTCAGAGGTGGCTGCCATTGGTCAGCTGGCCTTCCTGCGGCACCTGACACTAGCCCAACTTCCAGGCATGCTGACAGGCTCTGGACTAGTGAGCATTGGCCTACAGTGTCAGCAGCTGCAGTCTCTGTCGTTGGCCAACCTGGGCATGATGGGGAAGGTGGTGTACATGCCTGCTCTTGCTGACATGCTGAAGCACTGCAAGCGGCTGAAGGACCTGAGGTGAGGGTGTGAGAGCATGAGGTGAGGGACTGAAGTAAGAGAAAGGGAGCTGAGGTGTAAGGAAGGGGTCAATGACTTGACAAGAAAATCTGAGTAACTGAGCTGGGGGTATGAGGTGAGGGGGCTGAGGAGCTGAGGTGTGAGGGGCTGAGGAGCTGAGGTGTGAGGGGCTGAGGGCCTGAGGTGTGAAGAGCAGAAGACCTCAGGCTTCTATGGGGCTTCCAGGGTTTGCAGATGTAGTCTGCCTGTCAAGGTGGAGCTCAGAGCCAACACAGACCTGTCCTGGAGATCAAAGGCATGAGAGACCTTAGTGTCTGCAGGGGATGGCTTCAGGAAACTGGGGTCATAGTAGTTAAGCAAAGCCTTGGGAGGTGTGTGAGGCAGGGACTCTGGGGATCCTGAGCTTACTTAGCATTTCATCTTGTCATCACCACTTCTCACATTTACTTAGTTCTTGCTGCGTGCTCCACATAGTACTACCTCATTCACAGCCTGTGATCTTAAATTATTTTTATATTTATTTACCTTTATTTTTATATGTGTGTGTTTTGCCTGTATGCCTGTTTGTGGCACCACATGTGTACAGTGCCTGTGGAGGCCAGAAGAGGATGTCGGATCCCCTGGAACTGGAGTTACTGAAGGTTGTGAGCCACTGTGTGGGTGCTGGGAACCCAACCTGGGTCCTTTGGATCAGCAGCCAGTGCCCCTAACCATTGAGCCATCTCTCCAGTGCTGTGTCCCATTTTCCCTACCCTTATACCCCCATTTTTTGAGATGAGGTCTGTCTGGCTGGCCTGGAACTTACATAGACCAGGCTGGCCTTGAATTTCCAGATCCTCCTGTGTCTGCCTCCTGAGTTCTGGGATTAAAGGTGTACTCCACTATACCCAACCCCAAATTTTATTATTACTATTATTAGTGTGTGGTGTGTGGTGTGTGTGTGTGGGGGGGGATACATTGCCACAGTGCACATGTGGAGTACAGAAGACAACTTTTTGGAGCTGGTTCTGCCCTTCATCTTTGTGTGGGTTCTGAGGATGGAATGTAGGTCATTGAACTTTCACAGCAAGTGCTTTTACTGTCTGAGCCATCTTATTATTCAAAACCTTAATTCCTCAGAAAAGGTGTTTCCCTGAAACTCATCATTCTGGCTGGCCAGGGAATTCCTGGAGGGTTACAGACATGTGGCCTTCCTGGGTTTACATGGTTGCTGGGAATTGGAACTCAGTTTCTTTTCTTTTCCTTTTTTTTTTTTTGGTTTTTCGAGACAGGGTTTCTCTGTGTAGCTTTGGAGCCTGTCCTGGCACTCACTCTGGAGACCAGGCTGGCCTCAAAGTCAGAGATCTGCCTGCCTCTGCCTCCCAAGTGCTGGGATAAAAGGTGCCTGGCTACTCCTTGGATTTTTGAGATAGGTTCTGTCTAGCCCAAGATGGTCTCATAACTGATGGTCTCACTCCATCTGGAATTACAGAATGCACCCCCAGGAATGGTGAGGGCCTTTATTCCAAGGAAGCACTCTACCACTGATCTGTCTCCAGCTCTCACTTTACTTTGTTTTAAGCAAGTTGTTATTGTCATCCAGGAGGACCTTTAACTCCTGATCATTTCACCTCAACCTCCAGAGCATCGGGGACCACAGGTGTGTCCCATCATGCTCCCCCCAATTGTAAGCATTTCTTTTTCCCTTCTGGACAGAGTCTCATGTGTCCTGGGATGGCCTCCTACTTTCCGTGTAGCTGAGGATGACTGGGACATCTTATTGACCTGTCTCTGCCTCTCAAGTGCTGGGATTATCGTGGGCTCCACCACGGTGGACACACCGTGTAGTGAAGACCCTGGCTCTGGGCAGGCAAGGGGGCCAGTTCTTTTTTTTTTTTTTTTTTTCCTTCGAGACAGGGTTTCCCTGTGGCTTTGGATGCTGTCCTGGAACTAGCTCTTGTAGACCAGGCTGGTCTCGAACTCACAGAGATCCTCCTACCTTTGCCTCCCGAGTGCTGGGATTAAAGGCGTGCACCACTACCACTTGGCTAGGGGGCCAGTTCTTAAGGATTCTGCCAGTCCAGAGCTGTTGGTGGACGGGTAGAGGCAACATTGGGGCCACAAAGTCAGGTCTTAGTCTAAAGGGACTTGTACATGGCTGTCACTCTCTAGTACAGTTACTGCTTCTTTGGTGCTTGTCTCAGGGTGACTATTGCAGTGATGAAACACCATGACCAAAAGCAACTTGAAGAGGAAAGGGTTATTTGGTTTATACTTCTAGATCCCTGCCAGGATGGGAACTCAAACAGGGCAGGAACCTGGAGGCAAGAGCTGATGCAGAGACTATAGAGGGCTGCTGCTTACTGGCTTGCTCAGTCTGCTTTCTTATAGAATCCAGGGCCACCAGCCCAGGAATGGCACCACCTTTCAGGAATGGGCTGAGTCTTCCCCATCGATTGCTAATTAAGAAAATGCCCTACAGGTTTGTCTGCTTACGGCCCAGTCTTAACAGAGGTGTTTTCTCAATTTAGGTTGCCTCCTGTCAGATGACTCTAGCTTGTGTCAAGTTGACATAGATCTAACCAGCACAGGAACTGTACTAAGGGTACAGAGCTGATTTTTTCCCCACAGCATCCATGGATGCTGAAGCAGGAAGCCTCTCACCTATCAGTCGAAGCCAGAACTTCACTTTGACCTCAGGACCCACAGGGAGGACATGGGGAGGGCAGGGTATATCCTTTGCCTCTAGCTCCCCTCCTAGCTTCACTGTGACAGGAAGTCAGCAGGTCCTGTGTTGCTCATGGCCCAGAACCTCTGATAGCTGCTTGGCCAGGCTGTGGCCTCTGTTTCCTGTCCTCCTTGGAACAAAACCATACTAAGGCTGTCTAGGTCTGAGGCCTCTGTCTTATGTGGTCATCTGCCCTGCTGCTCCAGCTTCACCCTTAGCTAAGCAGACCCAGTAGGTCTCTGTGGACAAAGCTGGTATCCATGCCTGGGTGTCCATCCATGGGCATGGGTCCTGTGCCTTCTGGCTATATTTGCTTTGGGAACCTGCCTGTGGGCTTTCTTACTCCCCCAGTTTAGAGGTCCCAGTCAGTTGATTGTGGTGGCATATTCCTAAAATCCCCCAACAGTGGAAGCTAAGGCAGGATTGCCATGAGTTCAAGGTCAGCCTGGGCTAGAGTAAGACCTTGTCTTCAAAAGCAACAGCACCCCCTCCCCCCCCACACACAAAGGAACCAGATGTGACTGCATGCCTGTCTGCCTCCCCAGCACTCAGGAGGTGGAGGCAGGAGTTAAAGGTCATCCTTGGCTCCATAGTGAATTTGAAGCCAGCCTGGGCTACATAGACCCTGTTTTAACAACAAAAACAAGACAATGTTTTTTTGTTTTTTTTTCTCTTGAGACAGGGTTTCTCTGTGGCTTTGGAAGCTGTCCTGGAACTAGCTCTTGTAGACCAGGCTGGTCTCGAACTCACAGAGATCCACCTGCCTCTGCCTCCCAAGTGCTGGGATTAAAGGCGTGTGCCACCAACGCCCGGCAAAACAAGACAATGTTAATGTGAGCTTTGGGCTGCCCTCTGTATTAAGACTTTGTAACTGTGGTGGGCAAGTGCTGCTACAGCAGTCGCTCCTCCTCTCTCCCACATCTGCCTTTCCCTTTCCCAGGCCCACAGATGGACTCCTTCCTTCTGGGCTGCATCTGTCCCTCCCTGTAGTCACCAGGCCCTCCATTTCCTTGCTGCTTCCTTTGTGGTGTCTCTCACACTTGTGTCTTCCTGTGCTTGTCCTGTCACACCCCTGGCCTTTCCTGAAGCCCAGTTAGTGTATGCTTGGCCATTGTTTGCCAGAACGGCAAATGTGTCACAGATACAGACTGGGGAAGCAGAGCAGCCAACAAAGGGCTTGCCTCGAACATGCAAAGTTCCATCTTTGATGCCTAGCAAACTGGGTGTGGTGACACACCTGCAAAGCCGGCATGGTGAGGACCAGAGGGAGGAGGGTCAGAGATTCAAGGCCATCCTTAGTTACATAGTTTGAGCCAGCCATGAGACTATCTCAAGAAAGAAAGAGAAGATGGATCAGAGAATGCATACGATGGATAACCCCTCCCTCTGCTGGGCCACCACTGTTGACTATGGCCTGTGATTAGGCCCGTTTCCTAAATTCAAGGCTACCAGGTGAGCCTTTGAATCTTTCTTTTTTTTTTTTTTTTAATTTTATTTATTTATTATGTATGCAGTCTTCTGCCTGCATGCCAGCAGAGGGCACCAGATCTCATTAAAGGTGGTTGTGAGCCACCATGTGGTTGCTGGGTATCGAACTCAGGACCTCTGGAAGAACAGTTAGTGCTCTTAATCGCTGAGCCATCTCTCCAGCCCTTGAATCTTTCAAAGCCAGGGTCTTTCTAGATTTTTCTGTCTTGCTTCTAGGGTTTGTTTTCCACTGGTCCTTCAAGCCTTGTGGTTTTGCAGTAGGTGTGGTGGTGCACACCTATTGTGCAGGGAGGCTGAATCAGGATTGTGAATTCACAGCCAGCCTGGGCTATATGTTGGTTTGTCCCTGGGACCTGGCATCTTCTCCAGAGGCAGGACTGTGTGTGCATCATGGGAGGCCTGGAGGACTGGTGATAAATTTGTCTCCCCAAGAGCTTGATCACAGTTCATAGTGGCATCTCTACCCAGGCTCCAGCCTGTGCCCAGAACTGTCTGCTGTGTGAGGTACTGCCTGTTCTGAACACACACAGGCTTCCAGAACAGCCAAATGGTGAATTCCTCTGGATCACTGCCTTCTGAGGCGGGTGAGCCCAGAGATAATGCAGCAGGTGGCAGGAGCTAGAGTAGGCTCAGGAGGCTCTGCTTGCTTGGGGGTTGCCTCCTGGGGTTTGGGGGGCTGCAGGGGTACCTGCATTTTCTGGGGGAGTGTTCTGATGGCAGTCCTGGGAATCCCACCTCCACCGCAGCCTGCCATGAACCTGAGCTTGTACCAGCCTGGCTCCCTGTTGGGAGGAGGTGCCACAGGGACAGGTTGTTCTGGCTGTGGGCTTGGGGCACACCCCTGTGGTGAGAGAATCACGTGTCAAGCAGAAAAGGGTGCCACCTTTCCCACGGCTGGAGGCGGGGTGTTACCCTGAGTCACCCTAGGCTGCCTGGGCAGAAGCAAGAGAGCTACTTGAGCCAGGCCTGGCACAGTCTCAGGAGCAACTTTGAGCTCTCATTCTCCCTCATCCTGCCTGGCTCAGAGTGCAGTGTCCTTCCCTTAAGCAAGAGGAGACAGGTATAGTCACTGCAGAGAGCTGACCCTTGCTGACTGGTAGTTTGAACCAGCTGGAAAGGGTAAGAGTTACGATGAGGTCCGATCTGGGTGGATCCCATTTCCTAGTTCCCTGTCTACCCTCAGCGCCTCCATTAGGTCAGTTTCCCAGGCATCCTGGGTGCTGCCGACCAGCCTTGTGCACAGGGAAGAGGGTGAGGGCTCACAGGCCCACAGTTGGAGTGTGAGAGAGAGGATATTCACACCAGGCTGAAAACTGGCAGATGACTTCTTTCAGGGCAAGGTTCTGTAAATGACTGTCTAATTGGAAAATATTTAGAAGTCTGTACCGGACACGTTACACTACCACTGTAACTAAGCTGGCCTGGGAACTCCTGAGCTGTAGTGCAAGTCCATGCCGCCACCTAGTGGTAGAGGTGACAGCTGCTGCTTGGCACTGGGATTCCATGGGTTGCTGTTGGAAGCATTGGTGAGGGAGAGGACAGGGACACACACTCCTTCCCTCCCTCCCTTCCTCCCTCCCTCTCTGTGCTGGTAACTCCAAGGTTCCCAGGGGCCCTGCACCCCTCCTTGGCAGCAGAATGAGACCCTGTCTCAAAATAGAAATTGAGGGATGAGCCAGGCAGTGTGGCACATGCCTTTAATCCCAGCAATTTGGAGGCAGAGGCAGATGGATCTCTGTGAGTTCGAGGCCAGCCTGGTCTACAGAGTGAGCTCCAGGACAGCCTCCAAAGCTACACAGAGAAGCCCTGTCTGGAAAAAAAGAGTTAGGGATGAAAATGACTAATATACATGATGTACATATGCAAAATTGTGAAAAAATAAAAACAGGATTTAAAAACTAAAGGGCTGGGAGTATGGTTCAGTATAGAAATGCTTGTCCAGCCTAGCATGTCTGAGGTCTAAGTTCAACTCCCAATACTGCAAAAAGCCAGGCAGTGGCACTGGTTACACACCTTTAATGGCAGCACTTGAGAGGCAGAGGCAGGTGGATCTCTGAATTGGAGACCAGCCTGATCTACAGAGCAAGTTTCAGGCCAGCCAGGGCTACACAGAGAAACCCTGCCTATTTATTTATTTATTTATTTATTTGAGACAGGGTTTCTCTGTATATAGCCTTGGCTGTCCTGGTCTTACTCTGTAGACAAAACTGGCCTCAAACTCACAGAGATTCACCTGCCTCCACCTTCCAGTTGCTGGGATTAAAAGCGTGTGCCACCACCGCCCAACTGAGAAACCTTGTCTTGAGGGAAAAAAATCAACTAAAAAGTGTAAAAGCCAGGGCTGGAGAGATGGCTCAGAGGTTAAGAGCACTGACTGCTCTTCCAGAGGTCCTGAGTTCAATTCCCAGCAACCACATGGTGGCTCATAACCATCTGTAATGAGATATGGTGCCCTCTGCTGGCCTGCAGGGATACATGCAGGAGGAACAATGTATACATAATAAATAAATCTTTAAAAAAAAAAATGTAAAGGGCTAGCTCAGCGGTAGAGCCTGACTGGCTGGCATGTTTGAGGGCCTGAGTTCAATCCGTAGCATGAAACTAACAGAAATGAACAGCAGAAAGGGTTGGGCCATGGAGAGGTGGCTCAGTGGTTAAGAGCACATAGTGGTTGTTGCAGAGGACCTGGAATCAGTTCCCAGAAACAAGTGGCTCACAAAAATTGGTAACTGTTTCTAGGGGACCTGACACCTCTTCTGCCCTCCTTGGGTACAGGGCACACATATGATATACATACATGAAAGAATTCACACATATGTATAAAATATTAAATTTTTTTTTTAATTCAAAAGCAGTGAGGCTTGTTCATTGTGTCTAAGAACAGTAGTGACCCTTCCATGGAGTCTGTGGTGGGGCTTGTGCTCTGGGCTGATGACAAGATGCTGGCCTCAAAGCAGCCCCAAGGGACTTTCTTCTTTTCTGTCCCTTTCCTATCCACTCTGGCCTGCTAGACCTGCTCTTTCACCTGCTTTTGTCAGCTGATCTGTCACTGCCATCAGACTGACTCCCCAGGGTAGCATGTGTGAATTCCCCTAAGGTCAGCAGGTGTGACAGAATGGGGTGGAATAGCATACTAAGGAAGGCAGATGGCCTTGAGCCAGTGCATGCTGGCAGGGTCTGTAGACAGTTACTAGCCGCATCTTATCTGTGGAGTCAAGATCTTCTTGGGAGATCCAAGGCTCTGGCACTCACACCCTTCTCTCTGCAGGCTGGAGCAGCCCTATTTCAATGCCAACGCACAGTTCTTCCAGGCACTGGGCCAGTGTTCATCTCTGCAGCGCCTGTGCCTGGTTTCTCGAAGTGGCACCCTGCAGCCGGATGCTGTGCTGGACTTTATGGCCCGTTGCCTGCAAGTTGTCGTGTGTCACATGTTCACTGGAGAATCCCTCATCACCTGCAAGAACCTGCAGCAGGCACTCCTCCGGAGGTGAGTAGCATGGCCTGGCATTGTCTGTTGGTAGCTGGGAGGTCTTGGACAGTACCAGTGTCCTTAGCCCAGTAGCAACTTTGGGGAGATGGAGTACCAGATCCTAGCTCATGAACAGAGAGAGGGCCTGGCCTCCTGCAGGGGACCAGTTCCTATAGATAGTCTCTGGTCTCAGCCACTTAGAAGACCAGGACACAAGGATCCTTTGTTTATACTGGGTTCTGGAAGCCAAAGTCTTACTTCACTATGTCTCATATGGGCCCAGGAAGGACTTTTTTTTTTCTCGAGACAGGGTTTCTCTGTGTAGCTTTGGAGCCTATCCTGACACTTGCTCTGGAGACCAGGCTGGCCTCGAACTCACAGAGATCCGCCTGCCTCTGCGTCCGCCTCCCGAGTGCTGGGATTAAAGGCGTGCGCCACCAATGCCCGGCCAGGAAGGACTTCTTGATCTTTCCTTCATCATCGTGAAGGCTCTGTCTTCAGACCTCCCGAAGCTCCACCTTTTGAAAAAGGGTCTCTCTGTATCCCAGTTATCCCAGGCTAGTTTGGAACTCACTGTGCAGACCAGGCAGCCTTGAACTTGGGGCTCCTCCTGCCTCTGCTTCTGTAGTGCTGGGATCTCATGCTGTGAGTCACTGTGTCCCTCATCCCTTTTGCTGGCAGCATGTCAGCAGTTAGGGTTTCAGCACAAGGACTTTGGGGGCACAGCATGCAGCCCCTGATCATTGCTGATAGTTTTGCTTCCTGTCTACTCACTGAATGCCACCATGAGAAAGACATGCTCCTGGCTCCCCTGGTTTATCCATGGTTTTGGTCATTTTATCAGGTACTAGAATGGACTTACAGTATTCAAATTTTGTATTACATTTATACATTTATTTATTTTGTGTGTGTTTTCAGGACAGGTATGCATGCCATGGCATGTGTAGAGAGGTCAGAGGATAGCTCTCGGGGGTTAGCTCTCCTCCTACCACAGGGGCCTAAAAGTGGGTGTATTAACTACAGCTTACAGACGAGGGGTGCAGGCAGGAATTGCTGCAGCCGGTTGGCAGCGTGCAGGATGGAACTGCACATTGGAAGGGAGAGAGAAGCTAGGCTTGGTGCTACAAACCTGGAATCCCAGCACTCAGAATAGGGAGTTTGGGTCAGCCTGGGCTACATAGTTCAAGGCAACTTGGGTTATATAGCAAGACCATTTGAAAAAAACAAGGGATAGAGTATTTGTCTCAGTTGGTAGAGTGCTTGCCCAACAGGCACCAAACCCTGGGTTCAGTTCTTGCAGCATGGGGCTACAGAGATGATTCCACAGTTAAGAGTGCTTACTGCTCTTGTTGAGGAGCCATCGCCAGATCAGGTGGCTCACAACTGCAGCTGCCTGTAATACTGATTGAGGCTACCTCCTGGCCACTCTGGGCACCTGCATACATGTGGTGTACATAAACACACTTTTGTGGGTTCACATACATACACGCACCTAAATAAATAAATCTGGATCTCTGCAGTACCACAGATGTGCTGGCACATGCTCGCAATCTCAGCACTTGGCTGGTGGAGGCAGGATTCAGGGTCATCCTCTGCTATATAGTGCGTGTGAGGCTAGCCTGGGCTACACAAGACCCTGTCTTAAGAAAATGTAAATTGAGGGAGAGGAAGAGAGTGTGGCTGGTATGAGAAGCCTTTCACGGTAAGTGCTGAGTCCTGATCCAGGCCGGCACAAAGCCTTCTCCTGGATTGTTGGCAGCCTCTGACCACAGCAGAGCCCTCGAACCTCATAGAAGAGGCTGTTCTGTGGATGCCTCTGCTGCATCCTTGCCATCTGCAGAGTGGCGGCTCTGCCGTGTACCCCTCCCCCAGCGTGACAGCAGCCTTTCTAGGTGGCCCTTGGGCTCCTGCACTCCCTTCAGAAGCCCAATTGTGCAGGGTGCTCTGCTGCAGTGCTCCAGTAGGTGGTGCTGTTGCTCTCAGAAGCCCGTCATTCAGTGCTCAGGGTGTTGGTGAAAAGCAACAGGGTGGCTGTCCTCTTTCCTGATGCTTTTGTTGTTTGTTTAGTTTAAAAACTTTTTTTTGTGGATAGGGTTTATGTAGCTCAGGCTGGCCTTGGGATGACCCTCAACTTCTCCTCAACCTCCTGACTCCATCCTGAGTGCTGGGATTATAGGCGTCACATCACTTTTGGGGTACTCCACGATGGTCTTAAATCTCTTCCTCAGCTACATGGAGCAGTCCCTAGTGCTCTTCTTCTCTTGCCTGGAGAGCTCAGGGAGGCACTGAACTTGTTCTCCTGAAAACCCCATCCCAGCTGTTGCATGCTTAGGGGCCCCTTCACCCAGCAATGTGGAGGTCTTGGCCAACAAGGCTGGGGTCCCTTCCTCCCTGCCACTGTAACTGGGGAAGTGTTGGTCCTTTCCAGGGTCACGCTTTGTGTCTGTCCCCAAGCTGGCTGCTTGAGTGCCTCAGGTCCCTGGGCAATTGCTTCTTTCTCACCTCTCATGTTTGGCTTTTTTGTTTTTGATGCCAACACTGCAGCCCAAGCACTTCATGTTTTGGGGTTTTGATTTGGATTCCTCCTCCTCACAGGAAACAACTGGATTTAGGTTGCCTCTGTGTCTAATGCCACACACAGTAGCATGGATCTCACTTGTTCTCCCTGTTTTGTGTTCCATGGCTGCCTGCCTGCCTTCCTTCCTTCCTTCCTTCCTTCCTTCCTTCCTTCCTTCCTTCCTTCCTTCCTTCCATTCTCCCTCCCTCCCTCCCTCCCTCCCTCCCTCCTTCCCTCCTTCCCTCCCTATCTCCCTCCCTCCCTGTCTCCCTGTCTCTCTTTCTTTCTGTGATAAGGTCTCAGGTAGCCCAGGCTAGCCTCTAATGTGGTGAAGGATAACCTTATATTTCTCAAGTTTTGGCATTACAGGTGTATGCCGCCTTGTTAGATTTATGCTGTGCTGGGCCTGTGCATATCCTGTAAATACTTTGTAGCTGGGCCATGTCCCAGCCTTGGGATTCATGTGTCCAGTGCTGTTCTGGGGGTGACATTTTACCCTCCCAGTGCTGGGGTGCCAGGCATCCACCGCCATGCCAGGTCTTTCTCTCACCTTTAGTACCATGCGGCCCTACTAGGTATTGTATGTTCTTCTGCATGTCCTTCCTCTATTTGGGCCTTTTGACCCCATATGAGATCTGAATCCACTGTCTGGGGACCAGACTCAGTGACAGCGCTTCTTGGTGGACCCCGGGGGCTTGTGGCCTCCCAGGGTGATGAGCAGAGAAGTGTGTCTGCCCAGATTACCCTAGTTCCTGCCAGTGCCCCTGCCTTCCGCTTTGCTTCTGGCCTCAGGCACACACACCTGCCCAGCACTGGCCCTGCCTCTGCTCACATTCCTGTCTTTCCTAGAAACTTGTACTGGCCAGTTCTGTTCATGGTCACCTTGCCTACTGATGTCTGTTTGCAGCACTGTGGCAATCGGGGTCTGGGCCCTGGCATATGGCCTTTGTTGAGCCTACCCTGGACTCATCTTTCTCACCTCTACTTCTCAGACCTGGCAAGCAGGGAGGCCCCGTAAGTCCCTGCTTCCCTGGGGATGGGGTGGGCCCGGTGTCACCTGGTCACTGTGGCATTGTTGAGGTCTAGCCTACACCATGTCTCACCAGTCCCAGGATTCTATGTGGGCTTCTCTATCTTCTTTATCTTTGGGGAGAAGCATCTTCTAACCACACCTGGAACCTTTTGGTGGTAGACCAGGTCTATGCCACCCTGGGTGAGCTGTGATGTGGGTACTGTTGCCAACCATCCCACTCAGTGCCATCTTCCCAAGGGTTGAGATTGGCTTCCTGGCTTTCCTCCTCACGTTCTGTCCCAGGCTCTTCATAGCACTTCCACGTAGCTCAGGCATGCTGTTTAAATCCTGTGTAGGATTTTTCCAGGTTCTGTCTCCTCTCTGCAGCAACCCGAGTTCAGGAGAATGTGTGATAGCCTCTGGTACAATCACAGCCAGTAGCCAAGCCAGTGAAAGCGAGGGAAGACCTAGTGCTTGCCTGGAGCAGTAGACCTGACATCTGTGAGCCCAGAGCCTGTGCTCATGCTATAGCCTTCATCCTAAAGACTCAGATTCCAGCACTGCCCTCCACTTCCTCTCAGGCTGCTGTGTCACAAGTCTGCTGCCGACTGTGGTAGCCATGCCACTCTCTCTTGAGGTCCAATTGGCACTGCCTTCCCATATGGGGTCTTAAAGTGTGTTTGTGGCCTATTGCCGTATGTTGCATATGGCCCTGGGAGACCAACTGGCTGCCGCAGCCCCTGCTGTGTCCCATGTAGACACGGGGGCATTCTTCCCGTAAATTTCCAGCTTGCCAGAACCATAGTTACCAGCTTGTTCTCTGCTACTTCGTTCTGGCAAGCTCTAGCCCACAGCAGTCCCAGGGGCCGCACTCAAGGCTGAGTGAGCAGATATGGCTCTCCATGCCAGGAAAACCACTTGGTCTGTGTCTGGTCTGCAGACGTGTGGAGAAGAGAGTGTTCTCAGGTGGAGCAGGGGATTGCTTAAGTCTCGCCAAAACTGAGCCTTAGACTTGGGCATCAGTTTTCAAGAATGGATTAGGGGCTGGGGAATATGGCTTGGTTGGTATAATGCCTACCTAGCATGCACAGCCCTGGGTTCCATCCCAGCATGGTACAAACTGGGCATGGTGGTGCAGGTCTATAATCCCAGTACTTGGGAGATGGAGACAGGAAGAACCAAAGTTCATCCTTGCGGGGCGTTGGTGGTGCTCACCTTTAATCCCAGCTTTCGGGAGGCAGAGGCAAGCAGATCTCTGTGAGTTCGAGGCCAGCCTGGTCTACAGAGCAACAGAGCTCCAAAGCTACACACAGAAACCCTGTCTCGAAAAATTAAAAACAAAACAAAAACATCTTTAACTGCATAGCAAGTTTGAGGCCAACCTGAGAAACATAAAATGTGAAATTCTGTCTCCAAAAATAAAAAAAAAAGAAGAAAGAAAGAAAAGAAAATAAACTGACCACTCTCCTTTAATCCCAATACTCAGGAGGCAGAGGCAAGCAGATCTCTGTGAATTCAAGGCCAGCCTGGTCTACAGAGCGAGTTCCAGGACAGCCAGGGCTACACAGAGAAACCCTCAGGGAGGAAAAAAAAAGAAAAGAAAATAGAGCTGGCTTTGCATTACTTTGTAGCCTGCACAGCTTCTATGAGCAGCAGTTGAAGTCTAGGAAGCTGCCTGGCTCAGCACTGCTTCGTGGTAGCGCTAGAGCAGGCTGTTGGCATATTCTCACCTGTCAAGCTGGCCACGTGGGTCTGCATTGGCGGGTTCAGTTGGAAGAACTGTGGCCTAGATACTGAGCTAGTGGCTGCTATGTTCCAGCTCCACGGAGCATGCTCAGAAGCCAGGAGGAGCCACTGTGAACTGTGACGCCTGGAGGAGATGGCCAAGGTGCCTGGATCCCACCATAGTGTTGGTAGCATGTGGGGGTCAATGAGGGACATGAAGGGGCCTGACTGGAGCCACATGCTATTTCAGATGGGGAAATGTTGTCTGGTGTTTCATTTAGTAGGTCTGTCTATCTGGGTGTGGAGCCAAAGGTGGTATGACCTGGGGATTCTATTCTTATTCCAGAACCTCCAGTTGTTTTTATTTGTATGTGCTTGTGTGTCTGTGTATGTACATGTGGGTCCAGTTACCTTCAGAGGCCAGTACAGAGTGCTGAATCCCCCTAGAACTGCAGTTACAGATGGCTGTGCACCACCATGTGGGTGCTGGGAATCCAACTCAGGTCCTCTGCAAGAACAGCCAGTGCCTTTACTGAGCCATCTCTCCAGTCCTCCCAGATGACTACAGAGTCAGGTCACATTGTCATTCGGGTCAGCCAGTGCTGGTTTGAGGGTGCCTAGGTTGTGTAGGTACAACGCCATCCATTGTCTGTAACGGCCCAGAAAAGAATGGTGTGGGGCATGTCTTCCTCCAGTGCCTACCCTGTGCCCTCCTCAGCTTTGGTCTGAGCCCCGCCTTTTTTGATGTCTTCTATGGGAACAGTGCAAGGGAATGCTTGTTTGTTTGTTTGTTTGTTTAAGATTTTATTTATTATGTATGCAGTCTTTTCCTGCATGCTAGCAGAGGGCACCAGATCTCATTCAAGGTGGTTGTGAGTCACCATGTGGTTGCCGGGAATTGAACTCAGGACCTCTGGAAGAGCAGTCAGTGCTCTTAACCTCTGAGCCATTTCTCCAGCCCCCACCCCACTATTCTTAAAACATTCCCTTGCGGGCTGGAGAGAGGGCTCAGCGGTTAAGAGCACTGACTGTTCTTCCAGAGGTCCTGAGTTCAATTCCCAGCAACCACATGGTGGCTCACAACCCTGAGATCTGGTGCCCTTTTCTGGCCCGCAGGGACACATGCAGACAGAACACTGTATACATAATAAATAAATAAATAAATAAATAAATAAATAAATAAATAAATCTAAGGAAAAAAAAGCCTTACAAAATTAAAAAAGAAGGAAAGAAAGAAAGAAAGAAAGAAAGAAAGAAAGAAAGAAAGAAAGAAAGAAAGAAAAAACAATAGTGGGGTGAGATGTTTCCAGCCTGGGGCTCCTGAGGCTGCTGACAGGGGCTCTGGGCCAAGCAAAGCATTTTGCCATCCCTACCCCTCATCTCACCCCAAGTGAGTTTTGCTCCTGCTTAAGTTTTTGTTTTGTTTTGTTTGAAACAGGGTGTCCCTATGTGGTCTTGGCTATCCTAGAACTCCCTATGTAGACCAGGCTGGCCTCAAACTCACAATTTGATCCTGCTGCCTCTGACTCCTGAGTGCTGGGATGAAAGGTATGAATCACCAAGCCCTGCTTGTTTTACTTCAACATCAAACCTAGTCTATAGGTGAGGATGACCTGAACCTCTGACCACTGCCTTTGTCTCCTGAGTGCTGGGACTACAAAAATATACTTAGTTAATGGGGAGTGCTAGGGACTGAACCCAGGGCTTTGCCCTGCCTCAGTGGGTAGGCAGGCACTCTACCCACTGAGCATGCCCAGCCTGGCAGTAACTTTCTTCTTTCTCCTTTAGATTTGTTTATTATTTTATGTGCCTTTATGTATGTCTGTGCATCGTGTGTGTGTGTGTGTGTGTGTGTGTGTGTGTGTGTGTGTGTCTGTGTGTGTGTGTGTGTGTGTGTGGTGTGGTGCCTGCAGAGGTCAGAAGAGGGTGTTGGATCCCCTGAGACTGCAGTTATAGATAGCTTTAAGTCACCATGTGGGTGCTGGGAACTGAACCTGGGTTCTCTGACAGGGTTTATCTGTGTAGCCCTGGCTGTCCTGGAAATCACTCTGTAGACCAGACTGGCCTGGAACTCACAGACATCTGCCTGCTTCTGCCTTCCCAGTGCTGGGATTTTAACCATGTGCCACCACCGCCCGGCTGCAGTCAGTGCTCCTGAGTGCTGATCCTCCTCTCCAGCCCATCACTGTTTTCAATGTGTGTATTCATTACTACTCTCTGTTCTTGACCCCTTCATGTTCCATATGCTCTATAGTGTTAAGCACTGACTGCCCCAGATCCCGGCTCCCTCCAGTCTACTCTGGCTCTAGGAATCTGATGACTTAAGTAGGATCAGAAGCAAGTGTGCTGGAGACTGAACCCAGGCTCTCCTGTGGCTCACCAAGCACTCCTCCTGCTGAGCTGTGTCCTCAGCCCCCATATCCCCTGTTAACAGCTGATCTCTGGTTCAGTTTCCAGGCTGAGAGGCCCGCCTTGAATGTCGTCATCTTCCCCCTGCTCCACGAGGGCCTGACAGATGTCATCCGAGATGTCCCCATGGTGCACCTGGACGAGATCACCTTATTTAAAAGCAGAGTGGCTGAGGAGCCACCGAACCTGTGGTGGTGAGAGGGCTGCCTGGCCCCCAAGCCCCTCCACTCCTGCCAGCAGAGCCTCCAAGAAGCCAGCGAACAGTGGGCCCTTGTTTTGTGACAGGAAGAAAGAGTTTCCAGTTGTTCTGAGACATTCACCCCAGTCTCTCCAGGTCTCCTCTCTCTTACTCTTAGGAGTACTGGGGCTCAGTGACAAGCGATGAGGTGGGCCATGGATGTGAGAGCAGTGGACGAGCCATACTGGCCTTCAGGGCCTGGTCACACTCCCAGGGGCTTTGTGGGCTGCAGGCCCCAGGCCACCTACTTACTTCAGCCTGGGTACTGTCCCTCAGCCCCTTTGCCCATGGTAATCTACAGTTGAGCTGTATCCACATGGGGTCAGGGTGGGCCGGGCTCTCACTGTGAAATACCCACAATGACATCTGTGAGCCTGTGGCTCCTTTTCCTACTGAGACAGATTTTGGACATGGTCCAATGGCAGAGCACTAGCCTAGTGTGTGTGAGGCCCTGGTTCCATCCCCACCACAAAGAAAAAGAAAATGTTTTAACTCAATGGTGTCTCTGGGATGCTTTCAGCCCAATGATACCCATGGGGCAGCAATTGTGGGATGGCACCATCCCCAAGCTGAGCCTGAGGACTCGGGCCTGTATCTCACAAGTGGTCACTTCTCCCCCATAGTTCACGGGCTTCTGCTTAAAAAGTCTAGGTGCTGTGGAGATGTGAATGCTTCCTAGGGAGTCCACAACCACTGGCCTTGTTAGGATAGCTAAAAACAGTAAAAGCCAGAGTGGGCATAGGACGCTGGAGCAGGGATCACAAACCTGTTTAGTCATTACAAAGATTCACTGAGAGCCATGGGTGTGCATGGGCCCCGGTTTCCATTCCCAGCACTGCATAGTCCTTCCTGGTGGCTCACACGTGTAATCCTAGCATTCAGGAGGTCAAGGCAGGAGCTTTCAGCATCTTCAGCTACATAATTGAGGAAGAGGCTGGCCTGAACTACATAAGACCCCATTTTAATCTCAATAAACCAAAAAAAAAAAAAAAAAGGAAAAAAAAAAGGAAAGAAAGTTGAGGGAGGACCCAGTGTCTGTGGCCTTACTTTGTCCCTCACATTAGTTACTCTGAGTCAGTACCCAGAGGGGACTTGTGACAGCCTGTGGTTGGACTCCTGCCTGGACTTCTCGGTGGTGGGTCCCCAGTATGCTGTGGTCATTACTTCAGGTAGCTTCCGGTCTGGACATAACAGTCCATACAGGCCCATCAGGCCTCGCTCTCTGCTGGTGACCTTCGAAGACCCAGCCTGCCTTCATCCTCTGTTGACAACAGGTCCTCCTGAGATGTGGTTTCTTTTTTTTTTTTTTAGTTTTTTTTTTTTTTTTTTTTTTTTTTTTTTTCGGGCGGTTTTTTTTTTGGTTTTTCAAGACAGGGTTTCTCTGCTGGCCTCTGGGTGTGTGTCCCTATGTAGACCAGGCTGGCCTCGAACTCACAGAGATCCGCCTGCCTCTGCCTCCCGCGTGCTGGGATTCAAGGCGTGTACCACCAACGCCTGGCAAGATGTGGTTTCTTGCGCTGGGCTCTGGGTGTGTGTCCCTATGTAGACCAGGCTGGCCTCGAACTCACAGAGATCCGCCTGCCTCTGCCTCCCGCGTGCTGGGATTCAAGGCGTGTACCACCAACGCCTGGCAAGATGTGGTTTCTTGCGCTGGGCTCTGGGTGTGTGTCCCTATGTAGACCAGGCTGGCCTCGAACTCACAGAGATCCGCCTGCCTCTGCCTCCCGCGTGCTGGGATTCAAGGCGTGTACCACCAACGCCTGGCAAGATGTGGTTTCTTGCGCTGGGCTCTGGGTGTGTGTCCCTATGTAGACCAGGCTGGCCTCGAACTCACAGAGATCCGCCTGCCTCTGCCTCCCGAGTGCTGGGATTAAAGGCGTGTACCACCAACGCCTGGCAAGATGTGGTTTCTTGAGCTGGCCTCTGGGTGTGTGTCCTGTTGTCTCCGGCAGGCAGTGCCTGGCAGCTGGAGCCTGGGGGGCCTGGGGGCTTCGGACCTGGCTCTGGGGACAGTGTTAGGGAAACAAATTCCCAGGCCCCAAGAGATGTGTCTCTGCCTGGCCCCCTGCTGTTCTAGTTCCAGTGTTTACACGTGGTCTGCAGCGCCAAGCCCTGCTTTCTCATCCATCTCTTGCCTGAGGGAATCCTCCATTCTCTACAGAGCCCAAGGTGCTCCCTCCCAGAGGGATCCTTCTATCTGTAGGCTCATCCCAGGGGATACCCACCCCACACCTAGAGCCCTCACCTTCACAGACCTAATGCAGTTTCTGAGAGCTATGAGCCTGTCCTATCTTTTCTGGGCATTGCAGGCCATGGGACCGCTGCCAAGGTTCCAGAGGGCAGACTGAAGCCCCACACAGCTGTATCTGGGTCCCAAAGGTGTTGGAACTCCTTCCCCAGTTTCTGGGCATGTCTTTAGAGCATTAAACTGACACCTGAAGGCCACCATGTAGGCTCTCCAGGACCATCTGCTGCTTGTCCTACAAACAAGAATGTAGCTGGTCACAGCCTATGAGGGAGGCAGGTTGCTTGGAGGTGGCAAGTCCCAAGTCCTTGTGACTTCTTCCTTTATAGGAAGCTCCACTCAGCTGGGTATGGTGGTGCAGGGTTTAATCCCAGCACTTGGGAGGCAGAGGCAGGTGAATTTCTGTGAGTTCGAGGCCAACCTAGTCTACATAGAAACCCTATCTCAAAAAACAAAAGAACACAAACGGCAGTCCTGTTCAGACAGGAAATCACCTTTCTGCTGGGATTTTATTTCAGAGGCCAGAGCTGTCCTGTCAGTCCTATGGATAAGCAGTTCTTAGAGCCAGCAGTTTTAGCCAGTGGCATCATTTATGCCCAGAAACTGAGCTGACAGGGAGGGGCCTGGTCAGAGGAGGCTGGGGTGCAGACTGCCTGAGGAAGCACCCCCAAGTAGCAGGCCTTGTATTCTTAGCGTCTCCTGCAACAGTTCTTTGACTTCAAGTGAGAATTTTCTCTCCTTCTCCACTGGGGATAGGATCCACCAGATGTCAATAGCGTGCTTATTTTTGCTAAGTGCTATTTTGGCACTAGTGTTAATCTCAATTTATAGCCTGCAGCATTTGACACTGGGAGAAGAACCCACCCTAATGGGCCCCGATTGGCAGGACTCGGCTGTTAAGTGGCAGACCATATGCTGCCTGCTGAGAAGATGGTGAGTGTTTGTGCCTGCGAGTGGGTATCTATGTGCCTGGTGTGTGTGTGTGTGTGTGTGTGTGTGTGTGTGTGTGTGCACGCGCTCGTGTGTGTGCACACATGCGTGTATGCCTATACATGGGTGTTTGCACCTGCAAGTGTGTGCACGTATACCTATGTATGCCTGTGTGTGTGCACACGAGTTTGCATCTTCTGGTGTGTGTTCTCTGTGTTAGAGTGAGACAGTAGAGAGGAGGGAGATGGGTGAATTTATCCTTGTTAATACAGTCCCTGATCTCCCCTGGCTGCTGGGATCCCTGCCTCAGCCCAGCCCTGGCTGCTCTTGCCTCCACCTCCTGCTCCAGACCTTGTGTTGTTTGTTGTTTTGTTTATTTTGATTTTTCAAGACAGGGTTTCTCTTTGTAGCTCTGGCTGTCTTGGAACTCTCTGTAGACCATGCTGGCCTCAAACTCACAGAGATCCTCCTGCCTCTGCCTCCCCAGTGCTAAGATTAAAGCTGTGTGCCACCACCACCCAGGCAGCCCTTGTGTTTTATGTCCTATCTTTGATGCTTATCTCCTAAGCCTGTGGCTTTCCTCATTTTCTCTCTTATTAAAACCCTCATGTGCTGGGCGTGTGTGACACATGCCTTTAATCCCAGCACTCGGGAGGCAGAGGCAGG